AATCAGATTTATGTTTGTAATAACTCTGAGTAAAATAGTTATACATTTTATGTTGCAAGTATGAAGAGATTATATTTCCTTCATTTGGACCTCTCAGATATCTCATTAGGGAGATAAGATTATTAGCAGGTGGTATGTCTTTATCAGATAATTTCTGAATTGTTGAAATTAACTGAATTTTTTGTGGACTTTCATTGGTTGATGCCATTTCACTAACTGATGCTATTTCGTTGGTTGTTGCTACTTCGTTGGTTGTTGCTGCTTCGTTGGTTGTTACTGCTTCGTTGGTTGTTGCTGCTTCATTGGTTGATATTACTTCATTGGTTGATGTTACTTCTAATAGTTGCCTTTTTTGTTTTTTGTTTAGGCGGGCATTTTTTAATTGAGATCGATGCTTATATGATTTGTAAATCTCCATTTTCTTTTTTTTTTTTGGTGCAATAATTATAACGACACTTATTTAGATGCAGGGCTTTTACTACTGAAAATTAGAAGTCCAAATTTGGAATAGATCGATTAAAGGTCTCTACAATGCGAGTTACAGAGTCAGATTTGATATTTATTTAAAAAAAATTTACCGGCAATATAAATCTCATCCAGATTATTCAAACGACAGATACAGGTTAAGTAAATTTAGAAAAAAAAATTTTTTTTTCTGTATTTAATATGAAAAATGATTCTGTAACTTTGTTAATGGAATGAGAAAGAGTCAATTGGCGTTGAAACTTTCTACTAAAAAAGAAAATTGCAACCTGCGCATCTAAAAAAAGGTGTGCCAATTTTATATATTTAAATATAAATACGTTACTGATTAATAATTTTGATCAAAAAAAATTTGATAAGCTTAAATTATAAATAACCACATATAGTTTTGATTTACATAGTTGACAGCCCACCCAACATTACATTTATAGAGGTTTGACTATATTTTTTTAAAGAGATAAAATTATCAAAAATATAACTATCTAAATTAAATTTGCTTTTATATATAAAGATTCTAATTTGCTTTAATAAAGATGAAATAGAGATTTTTAAAAACCTATTTTAGTGGTATATATGTTGTGCGTCAGATCAATTCTTGCGTTAGATTAAATCTGGCCTAAGTTAGAGGGTTGTGCGTCAGATCAATTCTTGCGTCAGATTAAAACCGGCCTAAGTTAGGGTTAGAGTTAGAGTAAGATTAGGTTATAGATTAGGCCAATTATTGCAGATCATTTAATGCTGGTC